AAATCGTGTCGGGACCAATTTGCTAAAAATTCAAATTTTTTAAAAAATTGTCGAATATTTTGGCTTAATTTAAGCTTTTTCTTGTTTTTTTTTTCTTTTTCAAGTGATATTTTCTATTAATTGGATTCAGAAAATTTTTCTTCATCAGAGGAAGACGAGGTTGGAGAGGTTTTGCTGTCACAAATCCATGTTTGGGCTGCCGAAGTCAAACAGTTTTTTTTTCAAAAAAATATGAGAATTTCGAGCAATTTTTAGTTTTTTTTTCTTGTTTAATTCTCTTTATTTTTAATCATTCAAATCAGTTTGTTGTTGTAAAAAATTTTCCTTTTTTCTCTGGTTTCTTGTTTATCAAATTTCCATTTTACTAAGAGCCTCCTGGTAAACCCCGCGCCTTCTCCTTCTTCCAGGATTGTCTGAGCTTTCCAGCGTAGTCTTTGGGTATATCGATGTGAATATTTCTTTATTTCGAAACACTTGTTGCTAGTTCTTGCCTTCTTCGAGCTATTGGTCGAACACGGGAATTGCCCCTTCTAGGCGGAATTCGTTGTGCCCCATCGAAAACATACTGTTTTGCTTACAAATCTGTTAGTTTTCACTGTATTTTCCCGATTTGAGTTCTGTTTCTTGTGATTCCGCCCGTCTCTACCTGTGCGCTTCTGATTTCCAGCGGTTGATCTATCATGGAATCATTGAAAACGATAAATACTTCAGCTGGAAAGAAGATCCTTGTCAAGCTTTTTTCTCAAGTGGAGTTTTCAGTTCAATTCGAGGATTGAGATAACTGTCTGCGTCAGCTATTGATTGACAAGACGAGCGATTCCTTGGGTTGTAGTTTCATTATGTATTTCGAACGAGCACTCCTTGCCAGTCTTGTCAACAACAACCCTTTTCCTCCCTCATTCACAACTTACATTGCTATTGATTAGTGATGGCAGTCTGATCTTCCTCTCATTTAGCTTTGTCATATGTTTTCTGTTTTGATTCCAATCGAATTCCACTTCTCGTGTTCCCCTTATGATCAGTTTCACTGGTTAGGAGTAGTATCTCTCTCTGCTTCCGCCTTCTTCACAGTTTTCATCCGTTCTTCATACAGATTTCCTCATTTCCGTTTCCTCCAATCCCTTTTTTTCGATTATAATGGATTAACTGTCATTTATGGAATACTTTTCTATGGAAGAGAGCTTCTGAATGGCAATTTTAATGTTCATTTGGTTTTCCATTCACAAGACTCTGCTCTCCCCTCGGAGAGTAGATCTCTCGT